ACATTTTAACTGTTAATTTTCATGCTATTTCACATACATTATTGAAACATTTTTTTCTCGACTACTTTTTGCCGTTCAACTGGTGCACGTGCAAGATGAACGGTTACAACACTTTGTTAGTATTTTCGGTATAAGAATATTAAGCGCTAGTCACGTAAAAAAAAAAAAACAAAACTTTCGCTGAGAAAACATCGGGCATTCGTATTTTTTTTTTTTTTTTTACGTAACTAGCGCTTAATATTCTTATACCGAAAATACGTGCTGCTAATGGAGCTTCGGTGGATTTCGAACGCGGCGAGAAACGATCGGATTCCAACACATCCGGCCGTATAGTGATCCAGTGGCGTATATAGGGGTGACCTAGTGGGCTACAGCTCTACCCCCGAAATCTTTTAAGAAACTTAAAACTATTTTAAACATATGTTATATTTTAATGGTGCTTCATGCTTATTTAGAATTTGTGTCCAACGTCAAATTGTTTTGGAGCATTCTGTAAATGAAACGTAGATAAGTACCTACTGTGTCTTGTTAGTAATTCTTAGATAGCAGTGGTAATTTAACTCTGTCCCCAGTAGCCCCTCCCAAAAATATTTTCTGTATAGGCCATTGCGGTGATCCATCCCTTATCATTCGCAGATCGCCCGAATATTGTTTTCATTCGTAACACAACCATACGTAGGTCCGTCGCTCCGTGCGCACAACACTAGTGTCATCGCGTTATGTTCGAACACGATTGCCAATGTTTATTAATTTGACCGCAATGACTGCAACGTCATTTCCCAAGTAAAGAATCCCGTTCCACACAGACATTTTATTTGAGGGTGGGGGCAATCAGTTATCAAAATATGTTCAGTGTTATTCATTAGGTACATTTAAATTTTTTCGCTTGTCTAATGTATTATCTTATTTGATGATCTTTAATTATAACTTGCGAGGTGAATACAAAAAATCAAAAAATAATCATAGTATCACAAGAATAAATAAACTGTACATTAACTGGCAAATTAAATAATTTAGATATACAAATAAATAAACATAACATTAAAATGGTTTTAGAGGAAGTCACCCGTTGCTGACACCTTCTAACATTTATCACTTGGATTCGGGACGATTAAGAAAGAAGATCACGATTCCAGTTCCATTTAATTCTGAGAGGAGCTTTATCGATAATGTAAGGAGTAGCCATATTTTTTTATGTATTCGAGTTGAGTTTAACATAGAATCTCGATTGTAGTGGATTTTGGCGAGGTCAGAGATAGTTCGAATTTGTAAGTCTTCACGGAGTGATATGTTGGTTATGTACTTTGGAGCACCAGTTAGGATACGGAGAGCAATGTTTTGGAAAGACTGAATAGGACGGATGTTAAAGGGTTCGGCTGGCCCCCACATCAGAATGCCATTCGAATAATCATTTAAATCGTTATTTTTAACATAAACGTTTTGACCCGGAGTTAAACGATTTAATCGTTCTTAATCGTCATCCCTAGTTTTAAGAACCACTTGTGCGAAACGCCGTACTGTTTTGAAAACGTGCACCTTACGGTTCCGATAAAACGTATATCATCAACGATCGAGCCCAGAGTCGTCCACTTGTAGACCTACGCTTACCGTTGCGATCTCGTCCCTTCGTTAATGCGACACAACTAATCGATCCGGACACGTGTTGCGCGCGTACGGAATAATTTCTTGAATACGAACATTTTTAAATTGCGAAGCACGTATTCGACACGTTTTTTGGTCGGTTGTTTAGTACAATTATAGACATTTTGTCAAAAATAATGTACGGAAACACTTTCTAAATTGAACTGGGGGATTTACGTATTCACTATTAAATAGTATATATAATTGAAGCAATAATCTTGTGTAGTCGTCAAAATCTAATAATTAGGAAACATCGAATCTATCAACACATTAATGATTCTGGATATAATAAGGGTGACTTCAGAAAAATTTTACGTTACCGTGCCAAAGAGAATATTGAAATGCAAGCTTATTTCGAAAGTACAATGAAAAATATTAGTCACAGAAACCAAAATTAAGTGATTGATGATCACGATATGGTGTTATTAAATAAAGTCGTTTCTAAAGTAAACAAAGCAAAATGTTTTTCGGTTCTAGCAGATGAAACTGTTAACATTTTAGAGATTGAGCAAGTATTTTTATGCATTACGTATTTTAAACAGGACTCATTAAAACTTACTGAAGAGATGGAAAATCGATTTACAAATCACCACAATATATTATCCAGCTTTCATTCCTTACTTATAAAAAATTATCACAAAGAGGATTTTACGAACTTACTAGGCAGAATAGATCTGGAAGATATAGTATATTGTGAAATAATATTTAAAAACTAATTTAATCTCTGGTAAACTGGCAAAGGGAACCAAAAATTCAACGTAATGGTTGTAGAAACATGGCTGTCGAAAACATTTTTAAAAGTTTAATTAAAAAACATCTCATTGTTCGTAAAATATATATTTATAGTTGTGTTTGTGCGCAGAAAAATGTTGCTCTTATTTCTGCAGGATACCAATAAGTAATTACTATATCAGTACGAGTAATAGATATTACTCTACTATAATTTTTTTTTCAACTAGACTCTCAGTCGTGTGTGATCCTTTCGAGGCGATTGTTCGTTAACTTCGTTAGGTTCGGTTGTTCGTTAAGCACTCGTTTAATGACTTGTGAGTATTGACATTCTCAAACAGTAAACATTTAAGCTACACTTATATTGATAACACTCTTAGCAGATTAAATATTTTGCAAGGTATTTTTTTACTATTTTTTTTTTTTTTTTAATTGTTGTATGATCAATTGAAGCGCTCGGCCGAACAACGGGACAAGTGCCACTGAGCGCATTTTACAATGGAGGCGTTTAAAATATTACGGACCATTTCCACGACTTAAAACTTAACTTATTATTGCCTTTTAATCTATTTTTATTGTAATTTCAATGCGGTAGTGAACATATACAATAAATTGTACTCGTGCCCCGATACTTCATCGATAAACGTAATATTGCCGAGATTGGCGCTTGTCCCGTTGTTCGACCGAGCGCTTCAATTGTGCATGATATTTTTGAGTTTTTATTTATTAAACCATGTATTCCGCACAACGATCTAATCGTGTACATTTTTGTACGCTTGATGGCACTTAGTTACTTTTCGAAACGTTTGTCTGATCGCAAGAATAACGACTACCGATAAATAAAACCAAAAAAATACTATACGCTGTACATTTATATATACGGTAAAGATGCAACTTTCCAGACACTGGTTGTTCATGACACAATCGTTTCGGTCCGCTTACTTTAGCACAATCCAATGGTATATAAAAAACAATTCTGGGTAGAACTCTAAATATATTATAATGCTTGTACTTTATTTGACGTTTTTTAAGTACTTAAAACTATTTTCGAATTTATTCCAAAAACACAACCAACCAAATGATTGTAATTTCTATGTCATTTCGAGTAGCGAATTGTTTGCAGAAGAAAACTATAAATGTCTGAACTTCTGCATAATAATGGGCTAAAATAATTAACAATATTCAGCATGATTATAATATCGCCATTCTTGGAGTACTAAAACTAAATAATTGGGTGATACTTCGAGTTTTCAAAGTAATTATTTCCCCAACATTACAGTAAAATGATCAAAATTAATTTATACGTGGCGCTTTTCTAAGTGTTCTCGGCAAATTTTTTCACGAACAACTTCAATCAGAAACATGTCCTTTATAAAGTATTATACTTTTAATACTTTATTGAAATTTAATTTACACACAGTAGCAATGTAAAACTTTTAAGTGCTTTAAAATTGAGAAACAAAATAAAATGTTCAGGTATTTAAATTAAATACATATTATATTTATAAATATAAACAAAGAACTGCAAAATAAATCGGCCTTAGTGATAACCATAATCAATTCATTTTTCACCACTTCAAATTCTATAGGTTGCTTGTCATAAAAAAAAGTCGTCAAAAAGATTGTTCATTACACTTCTACAAATTTGATCCATAAAGGTTAAAAACTAAAGTCAGCTAAATCCGATCGAAAAACGTAATGATAATTAGTGTTTGGAACCACGCGTAATATAATTTTGTGGTTTTTTTTTGTTAACAAAAATGTATAAGACTTTTGCAATCAGTGTTAAGAAAGTTATTTATAAAAATGAAATCGTCCCCATTTCTCGTTCTTATTACAAAAAATTAAAGCATTCCCATTCTTTCAAAAAAAGGAACGCGTTCCTATTCTTTTTAAAAATTGTTTACTATCCAAGTGGTTGTCAATGATGTTTTTTTTAAGGACACATTTTTCTGTCCATTTACAATAGTCATTAAATACGTAAAGAAAAATTAACAAAAAGTGTCGGTAATAAAAGGAATTTTTAACAACATTTATTTGATTCATTTACATCGTTTTTATCGTAGTTATACAACCGTGATTAATATTATTATATTAACTTTATATTATTAAGTACCTTTTATGCATAGATATTAGGTAATAAAAACATGGATAGGACATAACGTCTTATCAATGGTAATCAATGATTCCTTTTGTGACCAAATAAGTGTATACTTTTTACCATCGATTATAGAATAGACTATTACTATTTTATTAGCAAGACAAAAATATAATAGAATATTTTAGGTACTATATTAAATCCCCATAAATAGAAACTCTTTTCCATTCCTTTCTTCTATATTTGAAAAGGTACACATTCCAAGCTTTGTTCCTATAAAAAGGAAGCGTTCCTTCCCAACATTGATAAATATATGATCTAACATTTTTACTTTGTTCGATACAATTTCTCTTATTCATTCGAGAAACGCAAATATTAATTTATGTAACATTAAAATAAGCATATTCTGTTTCCTACTGTTAATGTTCTTTGAGTACAAAAAAAAATGTGCATTAAAAATTACAAATTTTGCGATTTTAAAATGTAATAGTGTACGGATTTTATTTTACTCAAACATTTATAATTTTTTCAGGAAACCAGCATGAAAATTGACTGTGTCAATTACTCTATTCGTGCGCACACACTACAAAACTAAGATATGAAAAGGAAAATGTTTGTCAGGAATACTGCAATAATTTCTCTGTCGATTGCTTTAGTAAGTGTTTTCATTATTTAGATGCACAATACTCGTATTATTATTATTTATAAATTTTCTCGGATTTATCATTAAAAAAACGTTACATCGATGAGTTTTACGTGATTCTAGGTTACCTAATAACCTAGTAACTTCACTGTTTATAAAATGTTTATCATAATTAGTGATAAAATGTAAATCATAAAAAAAAAAAAATAAAAAAAAAATAGTATTTTGGACATATTTTGGATGGACGTGTTATCGATCTCGGTCGATTTATTATTCTCCGTTTTCCTGTAATATAATTATAAATCCACACCTGCTCGAGTTATTATTTGGTCTGCGAGTTTTGATTATTTTGTATTTTAAATATGACAGCAGAACTCCAGTGGGTATGTATTTCATTACCATAATAACGAACACTGGCGAATTCGCCTAATTAAAACGCACATTTATTAGTGAATTATTGATTTTGGAAATTTCCCGGAGCTGAGTGAATACATTTCCAAGAATCAAGTGATAAATTACACGTTTGCAGCGTTTTTCTCGTTAAAGTGGTGATTTATTATTGTTACTACATTGGTTTAAAATGTACTGCATGGGGTAGTCCGTCTTCATCATGTCATGGTCTTGTTGTAATCAAACTTGTGCATCGACCTTCAACCCTTTTTTTTACCGTTGCACTTCGTCTACCACGTTGTTGTTCACAAAATAAATACCTACTATCAATTTTTCGATTAAATTCAATTAATTTCAAAATTTTCAATTAAAATTTCAATTTTCGAAATGTCACCGAACAATCAAAGTAAATGTATCTTAACGGGAGAAAAGAAAACAATCCAACTCTTTAGATTAGCCTTTCATTATTGATAGTGCTTTTTCAAGAATAATTTTTCCGGTTTACAATTCATTTTCCATCACTATCGTATAGCACGCTGCATAGAAATTAGTAATTTACATAATAATATTATCTAAATTAATAACTTCTATGCATTATATTCTCATCGAAAAATTATATTACGTGTTTTATCGTAAATCCTCATGCGTTTTCCTGTTCGTCTTTAGATTTAAGATTAATATTTGAATCATTATTTTTCATCGCTAGTTTGCATCTATACAAACGTAAAGCATAATCCTCAGTTGTAGTTTATGCAAAAATAGAAGCTGCCCAGTTAATGTTTATATATAATGTGGTAGTAAATCAAGGAAAAATAAAGCTAGGAGAAAGTATATTTTACGCAGAAACACATTTTATAAATAAAATAAATATTTTAAAGAAAATGGTTATTTATTTCCATAAATAAAATAACCTTTTTTATGGCATTAAAATAAACGCTTTCTGTTTGAAATTGTTCGTAAATTGTACAAAACTGAAAACACGATAAAAATTCTGTTTTCTCGTAATAATTATTTGCAGAAAATATGTATGATAGAGTATGGTAGCTACAATTTATAAAAAATCCTCTTCAATAATAAGAAACAATTTGATCATGCTTGATTATAGAAAACTTATAACTTTACATTGTTATAATTTGTAGGCATTTTGTTGATGTAATTTATTTAAAAGTTCCACAGAAAAGAAATTGTATTTTTTTTGAACAAATCAAATGCAAAAAACTACTTTCATATTAAACGTATCTTCCAAAGAAATCAAAGCAAATTATAAAAGTTAAAGATCGATATTTCGAAATTTTATTTTACCGTCTCTTCCTCCCAATGATATATTATTTTTCTCTGTTTGCTCAGATGATTTGAAATTGTTAAGTACCTACGGTTTCAATTTTTTATTTCACTAATTATAATTGATAGCCTTCCATTTTAATATCGTGGTTCAGAGAATAATTATAACTATAATTATTTATTAAATGTAGTTCATCGTGAACTGTATAGTAAATGTATGGTTAAAACATGGAAAAAAAGTCGATTTCAGAAAGGCCTAAGAAATAATACGAGTTGTGTATCTCTATAGAGATATCTTACTGAAAGAAAAAAATACTAGGCGGAGAGAGACAGATACCTTGCGGTTCTTAACTACAAAGTGGCTCTCGCATTTTGCCCCTTACGGACACATAAACGGAAAGATTCATTATAATATTGCTTGCCAGTTGACTGTCAACGGTAACTTAAAAAAAAGTCTGCTGCTTTTATTAATTGTAAGTCAGATGAATAGCGCACACTAGTCCTAGCAGCTCGATCGGAGAGGATGGAATACCTGTCAACGCCTCGAACCATCGTGACCAAGGACCCGTATCTGCGGGCTCTGGTAAGGACAGATTATTTGGTATGCTCAGAGTATACATTATTATACTACATTTTATTCTCTTTTTTTATAAGCCAATTAAACATCTTGTACTATAGGCACAGTAAGAATATGATATGTATGTAATATATAATGGCTTTGTCATAGACAAGAGGAGAAATCACTCGCTGATGGCAGGGGTGTATTTACATGTTTATTGTTAGATATTTTATTAATTAAAATTATCGATAACGGTCTTTTTCATAAAAATTCCTGAATCTTATTCATTTATATAAATACGGCGATAAGAAATTATAAAAATATATATCTTGTTAACTGTTGGTGGGGTAAGCTATTGTCTACTATTTTTTCATATAGGATTATACGATTTATACTGTATTATAAGAGTACTATATAACTCAGTAATATGAGGTAATATTTTTAATATTTAAAATCCCGAATCGAATCTATATAAACATATTTCTGGTAAACTTCACCGGGAGCTGATTTTCACAGGAATTCCAATAAAAAAATATAAAAAAATTAATAAAATCACTCCGAACTTTCCGAACCGAAGGTTCGAATTTTTTATTTAAATCATATTGATAAAATTTATAATTTTCCGTTCTAAGACCCAACGTTAAAAATTTGTTGAATACACTTCACTCGCTTTCTGTAGTGTATAAAATATTATGTCAAGTGTTCTGACAAACAATTCTGTTTGAACTCTGTGATATTATTAAACACTATATATATAACTATACACTATAGCGAATTGAACTACTATCAATTAATTTTCGAATACAATGGATTGTCATTGGTTTTTAATTTATATTCTATAAAAGCAACTCTTTATTTTGAAACACAAAGATACATTCTGATGACCCATTAGTTAATTGTTCTTCAATTTTATTAAACGTACAATATATTAATTAATTAATTATATGTTTAAAAACATTAGTAGACCATTTGGTTGTATAAGAATTTAAATAGTTGATTTCCTAATTATTAATCAGAATAATTATGTAAGTAAATATATCATGCATGATATACCGAATAGGTGGTAAAGTTCATATCAAACCATTACCATTTTCCTAAAACGTTATTGCTTGTAATTAAATTGAGTTATGTTCATTTAAGATGCCCATATTATACTGCAGGCATAATTTATGTCACTTGGTTGTATAATAGTGGTATTGAGCTGCTGTAAATATGAAAAATTTAAAAAAAACCATGTAGAAGACATTTATTTGTTGAATTTTTGCGAAATTCGAAAAGTCAGTCCTTTAAATTAATACACTGCTTTTAATTGATTTACTGCGCGAGACGATGAATGAAAATGTTTACATTTCTCAGTACAAATGACAAACAAAATATGCACAATAACATATTTTTTATTCAACGACAACTTATATTCAATCATAGGCGAAAATCGGGTGGAGCTTGAGGAGACTAAGCCCCCCAGAAATGTAAAGTACAGATCTTAGCCCCCCTAGCCCTATAAATCGTTATGTGACTAAAAATATAATAATTATTATAACTGTAAAATGCATTTTTAATAACTGAATTAAAAAAAACTATATTCTGTGATAAAAATTAAATCAAATTCGTAAATCTTACAAATTTACTGTCATGACTTGGAACGATCGTAATTCATGTAATATTAATAATATGCAATAATACCCGAATAGTTTGTTCAATTTAATTAATTAATAATTTCTGTTTAGAATAGCTACTCCAAAAATGTTTGAGATAAGACACCTAATTTTTTTTTTTTTGGTTAAATTGTTGAGTATGTCAAATTATCAAACTTTGTAAATTAGGTACAGGGGTATCTATAGATGTAATAAGCAAATAATGCTCAGCCCCCCCCCCCCACTCATTTCACTTAATTTTCGCTTATGTATCCAATACCTGTAGAAAATAAAAAGTAGAAAACGTTGTTGAATATCGTATTAATCATTGTGTGATTGAGTATGGTTATTACCGTTTAGGTAAGCCTCCGATACTCAGTGAACAGTACCAATCATCACGTAACTTTATTTCCGATTTCCCATGGTAAATATTGCATACAATAAGTCAGTATAATTCCGATGACTATAAGTAATTGTTTATAGCTATACTACTATAATAGTCTTGAATCTTTAAAAACAAAAAATATTGTATTTTTCTCGAATCTGTTATTAACAATTCTAGAAATTAATTAATCCGTTATATATATACCCACGAGTATAGTATTTTAAAAACGCATTCGCGAGTTACAAGTAATAACGAACGGTTTCGAGTGTTTAATAAATAAAGCAAAAATTTCCTTTTACTATCAAACGATTCTTGACTAACGCCATCATGCGCGAATCGTATTGATCGTTTACCGTTTACATGGCCTTCACTGTATGCAGATGCATACATTTTCGACGATTCAAATAGTATGATATGCGTGTATCGCGTAAATGTTCATGGGCTGGTATTTGAGAGAAATGCGTTCGAAAAACAAGATCTAGAAGTAAACACTCTGAGCCCGATGCATTTCCCAGGACGAGTATAGCGATGATGGGGTGTGTAAGGACCTGCAATCATCAGGCCTACTGGGTTTACAATAGATAGGGCGTGAGGTGAAAGAAAAATTCAACGACTTACGTCCCATAATGAACATCGTGCTCTTCAGTATGTATGTATTTTACCAACCTTCCCCCCCTATTACCGATTGAATCCCTCATTCAATGGTGGTAATTGTTAGGCAGATAATAAAAGATTATATTATAGGCCCGGTCAGGAGAATCCA